TATATTATGCATGTATAAGGGTTAAATTGTATAGCATGATATTTGATATATCTTTTTTTTTTCTTTTGTCTTTCTTTTTTTCTATTTGTTTTCTTTTTTTTTCTCTCTTTTTTTTTTTCTTTTGCCTTTTTTGTTTTCATTTTTTCTCTGTTTTTTTCTTGTTGTTTGTTCTTTTTTCCTCTTTTTTTAGAGAGAGAGAGAAAAAGAAAAAAAAAAAATCTTTTTTTTTTTGTCGGAATTATTTTTGAGGAATTATTGTTTTTATTTCGGATATTTTTGCTAGTAATAATTATTCTTGCTATGGGTCTCTTTCTCTTTCTCTTTCTTGTTTTTATTCTTTTTTATTGTTCTTTTTTTTCCCCGTTTTTTTTGTTTTTTTTTTGTTTTTTTCTTTCTGGTTTTCCTTTTCTCTTTTGTCTATCTTTTTTTCTTTTTGTGTTTCTTTTTTTTTTTCTATGTTGGTTTTTGCTTTTTTTATTTGTTTTTATTATTTTTTCTCGTTCTTTTATTTTTAATTTGATTCTTTTTTTATTTATTCCTTTTTTTTGATTATTTTGTTGGTATTACTATTGATGGAATTAATGAATTCTTTTTTATATATGGTTTAAAGATATATTTATTTATATTTTTGATTACTCTTTATATTTTTTGAATGAATCTAAATTATGTTAATTTATATAATTTTAATTAAATTAAATTTCCCCGAATTTTGGGTCGTTTTCGGCGATATGATTCTTGGGTTTTCGGATATTATTCCATAAAATTCTTTAGAAATTGGCGGTTTTCCGCAAAAAATACCGGGCCAAATTTAATCTGTTCGAGGCGAAATTTCTCGAATATTTCGTACTTTATTTTGTCTCCTATTTGGTTTCCATATATCCATATCTATCTATCTCATAATTTGTACCTTTTTTTGTCTATCTTTGTGCATCTTTGTGTAGCTTAATTTGTTTCTTTTTGGTGTTTGTGCTTCTTTGTCTCTATTTATTTGTCGGTGTCTCTCTGTTGTTTGGGTTGTTTCGGTTTGTTTCTGTTTGTCTCCATGTGTTCGTGTTTATCGTTCATCGCTATTTTTTTGCGTTTTTGTGTCTATTTCTATCTGTTCGTATTTGTCTATTTGGATTTATTTATTTATTTTTCTTTTTTGTTTTTTACTATTTTTATTATTGTTCTTGTTTTTTATTTATTTTTCCATTGTTTTTGTATTTTTTTGGTTTTGTTTTTTTTTGTTTTATTTTTTCTACAAAGCAAAATCGTGAAATTTGCTCGTCGTATTTGCGCGCGTTTTCCCGGACTATTTTTCCGGATTTATGGGTTATTTGTGATGGATTAGTACATTGGAATTCTTTCTTATATATGTTTTCTTTTTTTTGGCATCCGCCTTAACTTATCCCTAATTGATGATTTGGATTTACGGTTTGGGAATTTAATCCTTAAATTAAATGGGAAATCATTCCTTAATTTCCAAAACCCTAATTTACAACTATATACTTTCCAATGAATATTTGTTATATCTCTATATTCGTAGCTAGTTTTTGGTGTTACCTTATCGGGCTGCCTTTAGCGACATAGGCTTCCTTTTCCAAGCATATTTGAGAACGATTAACCCGGCATTTGGTGCATTTCACGACTTATAGAAAACGGAATATTTGTTATATATAAAGAATTGTTGAATTATTTGAATTACACAAAATGTCTTATCGATATAGATTCTATAAATATACCCACCACGGCTTGGACTTTGGCCCCTAAGAGCTCGGCTCATACGATGTTTTGGAAAAACATATATAAAATTTCATGAGATTGTGTTTTTGTGGACGCTCTGATCTTGGCTTAGGAAATATTTATAATGAATTGAAATATATTAAAAATATTTTTTATGATTGTTATATTTTTTTGGCATCCGCCTTAATTTACCTCTACTTGTTGGTTTGGATTGGTGGTGTGGAAATTTAATCCTTGTATTAAATGGGAAATCGTTCCCTGCTAAAACCCCAATCCAAAATTATATGCTTTCCGATTAGTGTTTATTATATTTTTGTATATAACCTTATTAATTCGTGCTTATACAGACCTCTTTTTCTAGACGTATTTGAGGACGATTAGTCCGGCATTTAGTGCATCTCACGACTCGTGCTTGGAAAACGGCATATTTTTCTTATATGAATTTTTTGTAATTATTTAATATATATATATAATAGAATATATTAATGTCTGAATTACAAAACAAAAATGGCGGCACAGACTTTATAAGATTGCTTTCTTCTTAGCACACTGGATTTTTGTCCTTGAGAACTCGGCGTATACGAAAGTCCATTAAATTTGCCAAAAATTATTTAATCCTTAATTGATTTTTTTTTCATAAATCCATATGAGGTATGGAAAATGCCAGCCGAAAAGACGTCTTGCCAACTAGCGAACCTATAAACAAAATAAATAACACAAAAAAAAAGCGAACCTTAACTACTTTATAAAGGCTTGTTAAGGGCTTATCCTAGACTTATGCTGGGGATATTTTAACGGATTCTATATATATGGCCGGGCATTCTGGGCTTTTGGGGAAGGAATACATATTACAAAAAGATATATTCTTATAGTCTCAATTACTCAACATACTTAATTATAAAACGATTTATAATTACATTTTTAAAACGATCAAATTTTCGGAAATTCATAATCATTATTATTTTCTTAAAATACTCCGAAACCATTATTCGTTAAACATTTACTCGGTCTATTTGCTTATTTCTTTCTTTATAAATTTAATCATATATATCTATTTATAATTATTTATTAAATTATTCTTTAACTAAAAATTCTAATTCTATTACTCTCTTACCATAGGCTTCACCTCGCACTACTAGAAAAATAACCCCACTAATATAATATAAATGGTTTAAACAATAATAATTATTATAATAATTATAAATTATAAAATATATAAATATATTAATATTTATTTAATTTAAATTTATAATATATTTATATTATATATTTATATTATATATTTGTATTATATATTTATATTATATTAAATTATTCGGATTACAAAAAATATATTTAAAACGAATATATTTATTTAATAAATTATAAAATAATAATTTATAATATAAATATTCGAAATTAGAAATATTTTTTAAATATTTCTAATTATATAAAATAGATTTTATATTACATCATAATTAATATAATATAAATAATATATTAATTCAAATTTTAAAAACCATATATATATATATATATTTTTTAAATAAATAATCATAAATTAAATAATTAATTAATTAACTTACTAGCAAATTAATTATTTAAACATATTCAATAATCATTATAAATTAATATCTTTCAATTTATTTAAATATTATTCTGTATATAAAATACATTATACATAAACACATCCCAATTACAATATAAACGCTTAATTAAATAAATAATATTTTAAAGATTATATAACAATTATAAAATATTCAAACATTTTCCCTAAAATAAACAAAACCCAATTAATAAAAATCGGCACATACCCTAATCTTATACAATTTCAAATTATTTTAAATTAATTATAAAAATTATATTTAAAAAAACAAAATAATAATAATAATTATAATATTAATAATATATTATATTAATAATATATTATATTAATAATATATTATATTAATAATAACAAAAATATAAATTCTAAATTTAATATTATCTAAATACATATTTCATATTTATAATATATAAAATACATATTTATCAAATTATTATAAATTTATTATTAAAATCCTATTTATAATATAATTTTATAAATCAATTATTAATCTTAACAATTAATATTTTAATCCTATTCAATTTATTAATATATATAAATAACAATTAAGACCCATCCATAAATCCAATTATTATCCTTCGTATCTTAATATATAATGCCACCATCATTCAATCATCGTATATATAACCCTCTATATATACAATCAAATCATTATAAATTTATAATAAAACTACCAACAATATTCATTTACATTTAATAAAACAATAAATAAATACTCATAATAAAATCAATTATTATTATTTACCATCTTTATATCTATATAATATTTTTATATATCCACAATAATATTTCTTATATCTATATTTCAAAATAAACAAAAATAATCCATCTTAAAAAATACACATCTTTATACCTTCTTCGCCTATTAATTTCCCAAATATATTTTTCAATTTGATTAATATAACCAAACTTAAATTATATTCTTATCAAATTTATTAAATTCATTATATAATTACATATTTATTTTACTTTTCATCACATTTTTATGGAATGCTAAAGAGGAGGGGGTGTAAGAGGGAAAGGTAAATTTGAGTAAATAGTATAAACTAGGAAGCTATAAGGAAGCCTAGGAATCAAATACTAAATCCGACTCAACCCTCATCCGACTCAACCGCTTACCCGCCCACTAAGCTCTTCGCAAAACACTCGATCCCTCGCATCCCGCTCGCTAATACTAGGGAGCCGTAAGGAGCCTTACGGAAGCTTAAAGAAGCTTAGGGAAGCATAAAGAAATTAGAGAAGCTTAGGAAAGCTTAAGAAAAAGGGAACCTTAGGGAAATTTAGAGAATAGGGTTTTAAGGGGTTCCAAAAAACCCCGATCAACCCTATACTTAGGACTCACTTTTGGGGAAACTCACTTTAAAGAATTCCGAAAAGCCCTAAAACCAACGACCTTAAATCTTAGAAGGCTAAAGAACTTAAAAGAGACTAAGAATCTTTTAGAACCTTAAGACTTTCAAATTACACCCCCTTTTATACCCCCTCCTCTTAAGCACTACATAACATTTTATACAACACGAATAATTCAATTCTAATAATAATTTCAGTCCAAAATAATCCTCAATAACAAAAAGCAATATCTAAAATTTATTTCCACAATAACTAAATCGCAAAAGCAGGACAAGGAGTTGCAAGGAAAAGACAACTGTGACCGGGGTCTTTCGCGTCAATTTCTTCTAGTCTTTCTGAAGCCCATATGGTTTGATAATTTTTCTAAAGCGATGCGCACTTCACGCAGACCAGCAGCTCATCCTTCGTCCCGTTGCGCACGTTCATGGTGGCCTTGTGCCCGTAGCTCAGGTCTTGGCCCGGTGCCAGCGCGAAGCGGAGGTGTCGGATCAGTTGCACCGTGGCCACCTTGGCCTCGAAGATGGCCATGTCAAGGCCCAGGCAGATCCTCGGAAGGGGCATCTCATGGTGTGGAGAAAAACGCCCTCTTCTTTGAGACCCCCCTTTAAGCGGAAAAGGGCGCAGCCAAAAAATAATCAAGTGTTTGGTTGAAGACTTAGTGGTGGAAAGGGACATTCTGCCAAAAACATGGTGACTTGCACGTGCTATTCAGTTTTCCTTTGTCTGAAGTTTGGGCGGAAAGCAACTGTAACACCCGACTATCTGGCTTGGACGGGGGATAAATGGCTGAAAGGGGGAGACGAATAAGGTACCACAAAGAGAGGAATAAAATACTGTACATGGCTATAGATTTGTCTCTTTTCCTCTCGGTCTTTCTGCAGTTACTATTCTTATCATTACTACCATTATTGTTATTGTTCCTTTAACTTCTACTAATATCACATTAGGTGTATTACTTTACATTACATTGCATTGCAGAACTGACTCGCGAAACAAAGGCATTGGGCCACCGGAAAAAGGCACGAGGAAAGAAACAAAGGCATCAGCTGAAATTTGTTTCTTGTAGCTTGCAGCTGTGGATCAGGCCAGTGAGGATCCATATGCCATGGTGGTGCACCAGCAGACGGTTGTTTGGATACGTAATTACTTCCCTTATTCAGGTGCTCGTTCCATCAACATTTTTACATTTAACTATCCAGCACTGACTGCTTTCAAGCAAATAAGACTAAGTCTCATTTTGACAAGCAGCCATCTGTTTAGGACTCCTGTATTTTTGGCCGTGGAATAGATCCAAACACCTCCATAGCTGATTTGAAAGCCTGTGAATCACAACCCACAAGACGTTCAAAGCACCAGAAAGCCCACAGAGTCCGGCCCCCGGCAACACATCGATCGCCCAAAGGAGTCTGGGCGAGCCGCCTGGGTCCAGCCTCAAGCAGGGTGCCACATGTTCCGAAATGGCTTCAAACAACTATTGTTCAACCATCTTCTAAACAGTTGGCTATGTTCAACCATCTTTGACTATGTTCAACCATGTTCCTCTTCGCTCCTTTCAACACCTTTCCTTTTGGCTTTCCCTGAAAGGGGAACCTTTCGACATCCGTTTGGCTTTCCAGGCCCATACCTGGAATACCGGGAAATCATAGGGGGAGGGCGCCGAGAAGGGAATCCATCGCTCCGGGCGGAAGGTCAAGGGCTCGGGATATCTCGCCGGGTCCCGACCCAGGATGTAGGGCCTGGGACTTCGACCTCCTTGTTTACCTTCCTTGAACCCACACTCACATCTTCTTGCAAACATGCAACACGCACCATAAAAATAGCCGCGTTTTCCTGAATGGCAGTTCAACTCCTTCTTTGATTGAGTGAATCACCATTTCGTTCAAATCAGTAGGGTTGGCCACAAGCCGCGCGGCGCGAAAACCACGGTGACGCCCTTGGGAATTTTGGTCCCGTCGGGAAAGATGTCGTCTGCATAGGCCTTCTTGGGGTCCATTGGCACCGGCGGCCACAGGCGTAAGGCCTCTCATTCACATGCGCAGCTGCGCACAGCGAGCTGGTGTGGGGTGGGGTAAGGTTCGGGTTCAGGTCACTTCATTTCCCCACAAAGCGGAATCCCGAGCTTCTCCCTTGCCACTTTTGACCGGGGAGCCTCGTACAGGACGCCGTGTAGATATGGCAGCTTGTTGTGCGCCAGGCTCTGCATATCGAGCGCCGCCCCTGGCGGGAGCTTCTCTTTAATTTCAGCACGCAGCCGGTCCTGTACTTCAGGGTTCCGAGCAAGCTCCAAAAATATCCAGGACAATGCACAAGCAGTCGTATCTCGACCTGCAATGACCAGATTCAACACCATTTCCTTCAGGAATGTGGTGGAATAGTTGTTTTCCTTCTCTGTCTGCAGAAACAGCGCCAGCAAGTCACGCCTCTGCAACAACCTGGGATCATCACGGCACTTCTTCACGAGGCGGTCTGCCTCTTCATCTAGCACCCGCACTGCCCTTCTGAAGGTCCGATACTGCGGCGACAAGTAGTCATGAAGGGTTTTCACCATGCCATTAAATGGCCATGGGAGAAGAAGGCCTGCAAACATGTTGAAGGGTATCACCGCTCTAGCGTGAAGAAACAAGGCGCCATGCGCTACATCAAACGCCTGGCCGTATTTGTTTTGCTGCCCCGCTTGCGTGTCCACCTCCTCGCCGAAGAAAATCTTCATGATGCTGTCCTGCACCGAAAGAAACCCAGAAGACATCATTGGATGTATTCACTAGCAGCAGCAGGGCGCTATGATTATATATATATATATACACATACATTACTTCTTGGAGCAAATCTTTGGGGGAGCTGCTTTCAAGAAAGCCAAAGGAACCCCAGCTACTTTCACTTTGGAGTCTCCCCAGAACGAAACCAAGGTTGTGTCCATGGTAAAGTTGAAGAAGCCAAGTTGGATGTCGACGGGCTCATTCTCGGGGAAGCTTTCCAGCCACTTTTGCAAGGCTTCAGCCTTCAGGGCAGCTGCAAGACTGCGAAGGTAGAAGATTTCAGCTGCCCAACAGGAAACCAAGCTGACCCAACACCAGCTTACCCATCAGGTTTGGTCAGTGTCCGGAGCAGGCCTTGCTTACAAAGACCTCCTGCATCAAGGTGTTGAAGTTCTTTCCTTGGCTTTTCCCCGGCCTCTCACTCAGCAACAACTCAGGAATGTGGCAAAATAGCAGAACATCAACAAATCGCACACCCAGTTGCGATTGAAGATCTGCGCTGAGGTCTTGCGCATGCGCGACCAGCTTTGGCCTCCGTCAGGCGATCCAACGCCATGAGGTGCCGCAAAAATCCCTTTGCCTAAGAATTGGATGAGGTAACGCCAGAACGGATCGGTAGCATCGGGCTTGGAATATTTCTGGAACTCGTCCTTCAGGAAGTGACGGATACAGTTGGGATCATTCACATAGACTGAATGTCCCTCGGTACTCCAGCGAAAACCCGTGTTCTTCGCCACAGTGAGTCCTTTGCAAATGTCAACTCTCCAATCATGAATCCGATGGAAGTTTGCCCTCATGCTTTTCAGCCACTCCATAGGGCCCTCGTTCCCATGGCCAGCGGGCGTATCTTTCAGCATTCTGCGGATTCGAAGCGAACGTGTCCACCCAGCCACAATGCGATAGGCCACCTGCACCAAGCCGAAGGCTCCATATGCCAAGAGGCTGTTCACCAGAATTTGCTTCTGCTGAGCCTTCATGGGGAGCTGGGCCCGCTACTTGATCTGAACAGCTCACAAACGCCTGACAAGCTCTGCACAAGTCGACAGAACTGCCTCGGCTTGTTGAACACTCTACTGCTTTTAGGCACGTTGTGATTTGCCACAAGCAAGCAAATGTCAGGTTGTGTGGTCAGCGCAGCTGGCCTGTTGGCACTTGGGGTGTGGGAATCTGAAGCGTCTCCTGTCAACTATCATTCAACGGCTTCACGAAGGTAAGCTTCTGTAAAACATGTCCATGTCGGATTTTCTTTGGGCTTCCTCAACCTTCTGTTTCATGTGAGCTGCTGAGTTTTTTTGGAAGATGCTCCGTGCAAACTTTCGCAGATAAGAATCGGGCACGGTCAATGTGACAGGTTGCTCTGATTGCTCTGGTAACACTTGCACCTTGGCCGTTACCTGAGCTGGTGCTAGTCCCTGTCTTTTTCTCCAGTATCCATGCTTTGCTCGTGCCCCCTCACCCGCCGCCCCAGCTTCGCAGACACCAACCTTTTCCGATCTTTGGCTCCGTCTTCCCCAAGGAAGCCGCGGCTCGGCAAGGGCGAGCCAACAACATGGCGAAAGTGGGGTGTATCGATGTGACTAACATGGAACCTGAAAGAGGGCCAATGTCTTCCATGGCCTCCAGTCATATTAATGTCGGCTTCATTCTGGTCGTTCTGACCCCTGCTTTTTGTATTTTGCCTGCAATTGTCTGAAATCCGCTTGAAGGGGTGTTGACCAACCTCAGCTCTCAGCTTACTCCTCAAAAGTGATGATGTTTCTGGTACGGATGCTGCAGGCTGAAACTTAGAACCAACATCTGAAAAATGGCCAGGTGGAATCATTTGAATTGTGGCACTCGACCGAATGGGAACAAGAGGTAGGTTGACCATCTCTTGCCGAGCGATCTGGCAAGCAGGCTTCGCAAACTGCTGACGGCATCTGCTTGCAGACTGCCTCCCGGCGCAGAGGTTGCAAAGACCTTGGTCCTCCACTCTTGTGGATATGGGACACAGCAAATTTTCCGTCATGATTGCCCCTTTTCAGGTGGCACGTTTTGTGGCAGAGTCAGCTTCCTCCATGGTCTCTTTTCGGGCTGAATTCACAGCTAGCTTCGTATTCCAAGGCGCCATGTCTTTGCACCCCTCTGGCTAGAGCTGCGAAAGGCAAGACAACTCCACCAGTTGGTGCGACCTCAAACAATTCTTCACATCCTGTCCAATCAAGACTGGGGCACAAAAGCTGGAGAAACCAGCTGCGCTGGGTACTTTTCGTTTCAAAGACATCTCTGAGGTGAATAGCCATGATCCAATTTCTCCACGTATATTAGCTTTTTCCTCAAAGGGCTAATTCGAGCTTCTGGAGTTCACGCAGTGAAGTTCCGCCGCTTGATTCAAAAGCAAGTCCAACATGCAGCTACTGGAAAATGACAGTGGTGGCATGTTTCCAAGTAGGTGAACCTGGGTGAATCCATTCGGAATATGCAACCTGGCAAAGAAGTGCCCATGCCCTTGTGACTTTCATTAGGCAACCAAGCATCCAAGACGGGTGAGTGAGCAGCCAACACAGGTACACATCAGCAATCTCATAGCTCAAACTTGCATGTAATCCAATCTCAATTCTAGTTATGCCATTGACCCCAGGAGCTGAAGCCTCAGAAACTTCTCAATCGCAGTGAACGTGGACGTCTTGCCTTCAGTGAAAGCGCCAGCACATTTATGAGCTTCCCAAAGCATTAGCAAAGGCAACCCGGTCAAACTTTGAACAAACATCAAATCTGCCATCGCAGCTAGGGTGGGGCGAAGCTCTTGCATGCCCACACCTTGCTTTTCTCATTCATTGCGGGTCAGTTGAAGTTCTTGAGCCGTGAGTTGGTTGAACACAAACAACTTCGCAGCCAGCATGCGCTTTCGCTGTTCTTTAGGAACTCAAATGCTCGGGCGAAGGAAAATGCATCCACTCAGGCGGATCTACTGAAACTTTCAGCGCGCGAAGCCTTTCTGGGCGAGGCTGGCAGCCTAATTGAAAATCTAGACGCCAGGGACGGGCAAAAGGAAAGACGGGAAGACAGCGCATGAAGATGCTCACGTGTGAGCCTTGCAACTCGAAGTTCTACTAATATAAATACAGTATTCTGTGCATTGAACGCCATTCACGCAGCTTAGTCTTGCTTTGAATGTAGTAGTTGATACTTGCAAGCTTACAAATGGGCTGCCTGCGTTTCCCGGATTCCCACTTCTCTTCGACTTCATAAGTGCCTTAGTGATCTTCCGGGGCATCCCTGGACCTGAGAAACCTGAGACTTCTTAGCTCATTCCCGGCGTCACCGGCCCACGGTACGGTGAGCCGCAGGCACGTTATCCTGGGCCTCTGTACTTTCGCACCATCTCGCGCCGGTGTGAAGGATCGACACTGTTCCGTACCTGGCCAGGCGTGATCGAAGGGTCTTGAGTGACTCCTCAACTTAAGAGAAGCTCAGGCAAATCCCAACCTTTCTGGAGGGGAGTTCCCGTCACACCAATTCAAAGAGGGATTTCAGCTTCGAGGGTAATGACAACATGGCCACAAAGTGGATCCACTCACTTTGAACTTTGGCTGGACCCAAAAACCTTCATGGATCATCTGCATGCCTGAAAGTGCGCGAACAAGCGCTTTCAAAGTTGTTCAAGAGTCGATGCCCCACTGAACCCAAGCACAGTTGTTCCAAACCAGGACGTCCGACCGCAGACCGTACTTCGGAAATCCAGAAACCAGCCGACCAAGACCCCCAGCTAGCATTTATAAAGAAGTTGCCAAGGAATAGACACTAGATAAGCCGATCAAGAGGAACCCTCAATTCAATACATCAGCTGCCAGCTCCTGGATATCTTGTGCAGTTTGATTGGAGTTCTTTCTGCAACACACACACAAACAAACCCTCCCAATTTGGGATGTGGTTTCAACTCTTGATCCAACCGAGTATTACACTGATTTGTGATTTGTTGCAATCCTGCTAGACAAATGCCACCGAATGGCTCTTGTACCAAGCAGTCAAAGGCGCTAATCCAAGAAGCGATCAGCTGTTTTAAATTGTTTGTGCCACAAACAGTGCGACAGAAGCTCTTTTGCCAAATGGGTGTTCCAAAACTTGGAGAACCCTAAGTTATGCTTGTGAATCTCCTGTTTCTCTGGAAGCACCCCATTGAGCAACATCCAAAGCCTGTGGACTGTTGCTACCTACCAAGATGTTCAATTATATCTACTAGGCGGCAAACCTCAAAAATGACAGCAAGGGCATTTTTTTCCAAGCCCCATGTTCAAACCTGTGTAACCATCCATTGTTGCCGGGGTCTCCTTTTCGTTGCCCTTGGCCCACATCTGCGGTATTCCAACAGTATTGGTTTCAGAATATGTTTCACATTTAGACTACTTAATATATATATATATATGAGCAACGGCTTTTATTTGTTACATGGCATAATGGACGGGTGTTCCTGACTCGTTTTCCAACCCCGCGCTCGGTCGCAGCCCCCTATCTCGTTTTCCAACACCGCGCTCGTTTTCTCTGGCTCAACTTTCTGTAGAGCTTGAAGAAGAGGAGCTTAAAGAAGTAAACGAGCTTTGGTTAGCTTGCAGCCTCCTTTGTCTCCTTCGTTGTTGCCGCACAACCTTTCGCTAAGCAAACTGCTGCTACACAATTTGTTGAAAAGTAATACTTGAGAGGAGGAACTGGGCCAATACTCACTTGGACGCTGTAGGGGACTCGTTCTGAACGCGTTTTGAACTCGTTTTGGAACTCGTTTTAACATGGCCCGTTTTTGGACGGCTGAAAATTGCCCAGGGGCAAATCTTAAACAAACCAGCTACGCTGCTTCTTCGCAAGTTTGCTTCACACCCTTTTGCAGTTAGGCATCGTAGTACTTGCCCCGGAAAGTCTGTGGTAAGTTGCCACGGACCATGCGACGTAGGTCGTCTACTCTACACTACATCTAACAACCTTGAACCCAAGACGCTCTGCCAGGCTGCACTTGCCAAAATGTAATCCTAATCCATGTTATCATGCTTGTTTGCCCTATCTCGTTTTCGGGGTGTTCCCCAACTCGTTCTGCGGCTAAATATGCACATTTCCAAAAAATAGTTCCAGCCCCTTGCATGTTTCCATTAAGGTAAATAAAGTTAGTCGCTCAATATATATATATATATATATATATTATATATGTACAAAATGGCTTTGGAGGAGACCTCAGTAAACAAGTTTTGCAGACCACCCTCGCTGTTTCCATAACTCCTTGCAGCTCTTCCCCGCGCGGGCGCGCCCCTCGGATTGCAGTTGCCGCTGCCGCGGTGGCACCTGCCGCGATCTCAGCTGCAACCGGTGGCCCTTTCGACAGAAAACCTGTTCGGTTGGTTGACCATTTTAAGGGTTGACTAGTATTGACTACTTGTAATTAGCGAGGATTAAACCATGTTTAGGGTTGGTAGATCATTTGCGGGGATCATTATTTTGGCTTGCTGACGATGTGTAGTGGGAAACCCACCAAACTCAAAGGGATGAACAGCTCCACTGAACAGCTGGGTTTTTGTCTGTCGGGTTGGCTTGGCGAGAACTCCGGCTTGAAAGCCTGGGTCGTAAGTGGGAAGGCGCCCTCAAAACCTTCAACCAATTCGCCTGTGCGATCCATTGGTGCAGTGCACAACTGCTTCAAGCTGTGTGTGTGTGTGTGCGTGTGTGCGTGGAGTATGTATAGGCTAGAGGCGAGCGGTGTCAAGTTAAGGGAACTGACATCAAGCCGCATTTCAATAAGGCTTCAGTTGGCATGAGGCATGAGGCAAGAGCAAAGAAGAATGCATGGGTATGAATATACATAGTTATCGTCTATCGTTCAATGAATGCTGGCTTCTCCTTGGATAAGCAATAACGGACGGCTAACTCGAGAAGTCCATGTCAGTGCCTCCCCTCCAGTCCCTACCCCTAAAAAGGGCAATAAATCAAGGCATCTAGGCCCTCCTGAACTTGCTGAACATTTGCCTTGTCCAATATTTGTTACGAACCAA